TGGTCATGAGATGCCTTTTTATTCTTTATTTGCTTTGATTTCCAGTGACTGATATTTTGATTGCTCTTGGAGAGAATGAACAGAAATGTATTTCTAATCCAATGCTGTAACTCCATGTGTGAAGGCTGAATTTCTGTGAATCTTCCTTAAGGTGTCTAAAATTAGTATCTTTTGATGGAATTAAATTCACTGTAAATATCTCCCTTTTTGCTGGATATCTGTGTATTCTCAGTCACTGCATGTATGGTTTATTCTTCCGTTCTGGCATGTTGTGACATTAACATAAAAAGATGCTCTTATGGCTTTTGCAGAGGTTTCCATGGACTGAGCCTTTTTTCTTCTTGCTTTGAAGGTTATGCTGCTTATGACTGCAGATATATAAGGTCTTTATTCTTGAGTCTGGTTGTCTTTCTTAAGTTCTTTTGGTTGAATCTGGATACTTACTCTTCACTAATGGATGTCATTATTTTACTCCTTCCTCTACATACATCTTGTTGAGCTGCTCTTTTTATTTAAAAGCATTTTTTAGGGCTGAAGGCTGTTGGCTTCTGTTCCATAACCAACACTATCTTTAAGTAGGGAATCTTAATGTCTTCAAAAATATTTGTGCCTTTAGCTCTCTAATGTTAATGTCTCACCTTAGTTTTCAGATTTTGTTTAAAGTAGTCCCAAGCTTCACCCTATTCCTTGAAGAAACACAACTACAAAAAAGCCTGGCTTGTCTGTACAGTTTTAGTTTGTCTTCGGCTATACTGTGCCCACTGGGCCTCTGTCACAAATTCCAGTCTCCCCAACATTATTTCTAGAAATGCTGACTCACCTTTTCCTCATCTTTTTTCCTTCAAAAAGGCCATATAAAAAGACTCAATTTTTTTTTTCATTTTAGTGGTGAGCTCTATCCACATGCTCAATTGCCTTATTTATGCAAGCTCTGTTGTTTGCCAAGAATTCAGGTTTCACAGTGCTCTGATACTCCCTTACTGTTCTTTTTGGGGCTGTCTGCTAATGAGTCATTATCACTTCCTCATCTTTCGTTAGAGAGACTGTTACCACCATGGTTCATATTGTACATTTTGGCAATGGTAGTAGGTAGAAAGTGTCTTCTAAAGCTGAATTGTGAGAACTCTTCACACAAGTGTTGCAGATCCAGCTGGCTCCCAAGTCATGTGCAAACAGATTGTCTTCTTCTTCCAAGCTTTTCTGCTTCAGCCTTTGTCCTTCTCCATCTATGTAGTTTGCAATAGCTAGATCCCTTTAGTAAAGAGTGCTTTGTACTCAACCTTCTAACACTTTATTGCAGAGAAGTGCAGTTGGTATAGCCATCGATCCTTGTTTATTCATTATGTTATCTCTAGTACAACAATAAGAGTTTTCAAAATTAGGCTCAAGCTTTATAATGGGCACTGGAAGAGGTGGAGATATGGCAAGGAGTGGAAATGCTTCTGAGAGTTAGATCTGAGAAGAAAATGGGAAGCAACATGTTGTAGCAAGAGGATTTTACGCTTTGTCTTCTTCTTTCTTTTCACTTACAGTGAAGCATGGTAAACCAGTCTGTAGGTGCCTGATACATTGACCATACTGGCCAGATTCTCATATGGTGGGGAGGGACAATATAGAGGAGAAATATTACGTTTTCTGAAGCATATGCTACCAAAAGCATATGCATCCAAGTTTTTTGAGGAGTCAGAGAGGACCTAGAATTTCCATCCAACTGTGGAAAGAATGGCTGTTTCCCATCATGAAAAGGTGGAGGTCTTCAATGTGTTTCCCTTTGCAAAGAAGCATCACTTTGGTCTTGTCTGGATTCAGTTTGATCCATCTGTTCTTCATTTAAGAGCTAATTTCCTGTAGTTATTCTGATGTTTTATAGTGATGATAGTTGCATCAGAAAATGAGATAAATAGTAGATTGTCAGCAACATACTGTTAGCAATTGAACACATGCCATATCACTCTCTCCCTCAGCAGTCTCATGTAGATAGATGTAGATTGTATGGATCCCTGTGGGATCCTGAAGGTGAGGATCTTGGAGCAAAGGCTCATATCCACCACCTTTTTTTGAATTGTGTGTAGAACACAAGATGCAGTACTACTGGATTGCTGGGACTGTGTAATAGAGGATTCAGGTGTCTGAGAACAAGGATCCGAAGATTATAATTCCATAGTTGGCTGAAGTTTTATAAATGCCTCCAGGAAGTTGTCAGAATTTCCATCTGTAGTTTGTGTACCACTAGGAGTCCTGGTTCCTCTATTCCTTTGCCTCACAGTGTGTATGGATATACTCATATGTTTTTATTTCTTGGTGGAACATCTTCTGCATCTGACATTGAGACCACAGAACCCTTCCTCCATGTTTTCTTTGCTCCTTTTTTTTAAAAAAAAAAAAAAACCCAAAAAAACTTCTGGTATTTATCTTAGCCTGTTACTGTTGGTGTTCTGGTGTCTATCTTCTTTCTTCAGAAGGGTGGCTGTGCTAGGATAGGGTTGAGATGGTATTGAATCATGCCTCAGTGATGCAAAAATTTCCAGGTGTTTCATCTGCAAGAAGAGCACAAATGTGTTATTTTTCTAAGGGAAAACTGCTTTTGTCAGCAAGAACTTCAGATAGTTTTCTTCTTATCCTTTGTTTAATGATCTTACCCTTTAAGCAATTGACTACAAATACCAGCCTGTGGTGTTTATTCTATGTGTGGTGTTCCGGGAGGGTGACTTCTCACCATAACAATATCAAGGACTTAGAAAAGTAACACATAATAACATGTAAGGTTTTGGGCAGCCTGGTTTGCTTGGTTTTTTTAGATTCCCATGACCTAGATGCATTGTACAGTGTAATCTCTACGGTTTAAATGCTTGGCCCTTACACAGATTGTAACAGCAGGCAAGTAGTGTTGGAGTGACAGTCTGTGGTCTGAATACTGAGGTGGTGTTTCATCCAATTTTTTAAAACTCTCCCACAGACATGAGAAAGCAGTAGACTGTTACAGGGTGGAATACACCAGCGATGGGGAGGTAATGGCAGGAGTGCAGAGCTATGGGTTCTCCAGCAAAAAGGGAGGCAAAAGGGTTGGTAGATTCAAAGATGAAACAGAACCTCCTCATACCCCTAAGACTATGTACAACTTGTCTAATTAGTTTTGATTAATTTTTATTTCTGCATCTGACACTGAGACGGCAGGACCCTTTCTTTTCATGTAATCAAATAGTCAGGGGGAATGTGTATATCAGGATGAGATTGATAGTTTTTTTCAGGACTATTTATAGTATCTCATGCTTTCACTGCAGGCAGGATATTTGAAATGCAAATACTATAGCAGGGGCCTATCTCTATTAAAGCCAAAATTTGAAGAAATGACCTCATTAAGAAGTAATTTTGCATTACAAAACATTATGCTTGGCCAATCTTTGTTTGCTATGGACTGGAAACAGTCTAGTCAGCACAGTTCTAATGTCAGTTCATTTTCGTGTGTTTATATATACATGGATACATACACATTGTCTGCATTGCCAAAAAAACCTAAGCCTCTTTGACCAACAAGTTTGTTGTTTATCGAAAAAAAAATTTTGTGTAGAACTAGTGTGAATTAATTTGTCTGTTCTGCAGGTGTATCTATGGCTGTTGAAAGATTCATCCTATTTAATTTATTTCAGTGATTAATCAAGTTTATCTTTCTGCCCCTGACTTTTATCTGAAGGCATTTCAATGTATTAAGCTATGATATGTTCAGGTTGTGGTGCAGTTCCTTTCTAAAAAGTGGTAAACTGTCACAGCTCACGTCAGTGTATGTGTGATTATAGAGCAAGATATGGTTGCTAAAGCTGTGTGAACAATTTATTTTTAATGTAATTCATTAAGGATGAATCTTTAGGTTTAGATGGAGTATGGGGTAATGTGTGAATGAATATGTTGCCTCCCTGACTGCATAAGAGAAACATTATTTTTCCCTTGCTCTCCTACTTCTCTGCTGACTAACACAAAGGAAGAGAAAAGCCATGAATCCTTCCTTTTTTCCTCCAGGTAGGTAGGTCAGGAAGAAAATCTTGCTTTGCTCTCTTTTAATAAATCATTGTCAGAATAGGTTCCGTATGACTACATGAAAGCTGGAGAGCTCATTTCTTACTCCCTCGGGTATCAGCAGACATGCAGATGTGTGCAGAGGGGTGCAGTCCAATGCATATGCCCTCATTATGCTTAGTAAGACATTGTGAATAAAGCCAGTTTTCCTTACTTTTATGTATTCGTTAGAAAGTTTGAAGAAACTAGCACCGAACTTCACAAACTGCTATTATATCTAACTCCTCATAGAAAACCTCTAATATTTTGTGGGTGGGGAACAGACCATTTAAATCACAAGATTTGTGTTTATTTATCTGTTTTCTCTGACTGGTAAACTCAGTATAAGAAACTTCAAACAGAGGAATAAACACTCACAAGACTCATAGAAGAAGAAAAATTCAAAAATTTACACCAATTGCCTGAAACCTTGTAAACAATGAAAAATATAACCTTAAAGCTGAAGTATTTTCCATAAAAAATTAATTTGTTCAATTGATTTAGTCATCTGTGTAGGCTGTTATGTGTGTCCCCACACATGCATGAACACACACAGATATGCACACATGGTAAGTTTGTAGTTGTACAGTTAAAACAGTTTTGAGGAAAATGTATCCTATTTGCTGGTTAACTATGTGACCAATGCAGAACTGCAATATAAATCTGAGAAATTTCCATACCATTGTTTTTTATTACTGAAGAAAGTAGATGAGGATGATAGCAGTTGGATGCAAAAGCCATCATGTTTTCAGTATAAAAATAAAAAATAGTGCTATTGTTCAGTAAGCTATACTACATAAGTGTATGAGGGGGATATACTGTCTTGCCCTGGACAGTTTTATTCTTTTTCCTTAAAAATATATTTCGTTTGCATCCCCCACTAAGAAGGAAGGAATGTTTCCCATTAAGATATGGAGTGAGTTTGTTTTTTACTTTTGCCTTTTATATAGGGATACTGAATACAAAGGACTACAGCTCTCCTTGGATCAGGTCACTGCTACCAAGCCGGCATTCTCATATGCAAATTCAACTTCGACCATAGCGGATAACAGAAAGGGAAGCAAATCTCGCCTCTCGAGCACAAAGTCAAAATCAAGGACATCACCATACCCACAGGTAGTTGTCTTTGAAAAACAAAATTAAATTTTTTTGAATGTCTTGATTTTGACTGCTATTTTACAATACTTTTACAATTTTACAATAATTTTTACTTTTACAAATTATTTTTTTTTGCGTTTTACAATTTTACAATAATTTAGTAATTAGAATGGGCCAAAGAACATGTTACTCAGAGGGAATAAAAGACAACACATTATAAGATCTTAAGACAGGAATATGTTTCTTTAAACTGTTTCTAAAAAACTGGAAACTTTTATGTTTCAGTGTGCATACTAAGTCATCATCAACAACAATAACAGCACAGGGCTCAGAGTTAATGAGGAGTGGACAGAAGGACGAGTGAAAATGTTGGTTTTGAAGTACTTGGTTTGAGAGGATTGTGAGCTTTGCCATTTGAGAAAGCTTGCTTTTTCTTACTGCCTCTTTAATATTTCCAACATATCTAGAAAGCTGCCAGATGTTTGACAGCAGTTTAATATTGAAGTCTTAGGAGGAGTGAGTTTTGAGGAGGGAAAGCAAGAAACTAACTTGCTGAACTGGAACAAGAAAGATTTTCGATGTACAAAGCTTTGAAAGGGAGAAGGTGCTAGGACGTGGTCATTGGTGTCAGTGGACTTGAACTTCCCAGATTTAATTTTCAGGCCTAGTGTGTAAGGAACACATCCCCACTTGGAGAATGGACCAGACTTGACTGAGTCTCTGAACTGGAGCTTACCTTATACTTCTACACAATTTCTGCAGACAATGCCACAGCACTTGCATGCTTACATTGTCAACCCTTTAGCTCAAATAAATATTTGTTGAAATAACCATTATGTTTACTAAATAACAGTGCAAATCTTACTGCTCTTATGCCACCACACAGTGGATATAATTGTATGCACTCATGATGTAACATTGAAGAGCTATGTACTTTTAAAGAGTCTAGGTCAATATTTAACTGATAATGACCTTGATGACTACAGTTTCTCTGCAGGCACAATGCTTTCTAAACTGACCTCTAAGAGTGTACAATGTGAGTCCAAGTGTCTGCTTCACTTCCTGGTTTTATTTCTTTTTTCCCCTCAAAAGTACCAAGGGTAAGAATTTCAGTTAAACGACATCTGCTTTTGGCACAGGAAATATTTAACTGAGCACCTTGATATTAACTCAGATTCTTAATTTTAAGAATGTAATTTTGCCAGAGATTGTTATGGCTCTTGTTTAATCATTTGTTCATACACATTTCTGTGGGTTATTAAAGAAGAGTCTTGAATGCGCTACACTAAACAATTTTAATAAAACTGCTTTAAAGAATTGGGAAATATACCTACAATTAATTCTAAATCTGATTTTTAAGATGAGTATTTTTTATTTACTGAAATTACCCTTCATCTCCCCTCACACAGTCCTTTCCAAAGTACTCATTTGCTAGCAGGAAAATCCCAACTGAAGATCTACTATCCTCCCACATCAATCTTTTTCTGAAAGTGTGACTTTCATCAGTACCTCCTTATTCTCTCTGCCACCAGAAAAAATCCCGAAATAGCAGTGCAGTGTTGAGACTGTTGGTTTATCAGGGACTGTTGTCTGAAAGTTCAGGGTGTTTTAGTCTCTAGTTTCATTTTGCATCCTCTTTACCAGTTGCCTGGTAGTAAAATCACAGTTTTCGTCATTTAAAAAGAAGCAGCCGTGATAGTTGCCAATATCTTGAAAAGTGGTCATACCGTTCATTGTAGCACATCACCACAAGCAATGCTGGCAGCTTGGCTTTGCATCCCTCCCATCCTTCTCCACCACTGAATAAACTGTTGAAAGACTTAGAAAAGCTGTTGTGAAGAACATGCAGCAGGTGGTATGGCCTGTGTCCCTCCGTCTCCAGCCCACATAATTTGCCAGTCAGTTGCGGAGAATTAGAGTGTGACTCAAAAGCCATGGCTGAAAAGTGAGGTCATGGGTTTTGGCTTACACAGGGGCCTGGGTTTTGGTGAAGGAAGGAAGTAGGAAGCTTATTAGTAAAATAATGGCAGTGGACAAAGTTTTTCTTAAAGTTAAGGGCACCTAAGAGATTTTAAATGTAAATAATTTCTTTCCTTTTTTTTTTTTTTTTTTCTTTTCCCCTTGCCATTGATTCACTCTTGAAGAGAAAAAGAAATCACATGTTTTATTGGGTGATGACTGAGAATCCTCTCCCTTACCAGCTGTGTGCCCCTAGGACAGCTACATGAGATGTGAACTGTAAGAAAACAGTGATCATAAATTTCAGCTGAATGTTTAATTCTAGGGCAAAAGGTGGATGTTTTGCTCACCTAGGACAGCATTAGTGGTTTTTTTCATCAAATCTTATGAAAAAGCAGACGTACTCTAACATGGCGCTTTATAGATTCTTTAAGTAAAAACTGAGTTTGTTAAATTGGAGGCATTGGTCAGCATCTGATTAACACTAAGTGTCTTTAGGACAGTGGGCTAGTGAGTTCTGTGAAACTAGTCCCAGGAAGGGGAAGGGCAAGCAGAGAGGAGAGCAACCCAAAATTCATGAGACAGTTCTAGGTCTTGCCCAAACACATTGAACAGTGCTCTTCTAGTTCTGTCCTACTAGGCAGGTGGAGAGCTGAAAGAGGAGGTGAAAAAACAGTAGAGATGAAGACTTGATAGGGATTTGCAGAAACAGCAAGTTGTGAGTTAATTTAAAAGATACCTGTAGTCTTCCTCCGTAATAACAATCATTGTGAGGGGCTTCCAAAATCTAGCCCTGGACCTTATTTATTCTGTACACAGGAAATAGCAACAAGGTTGGAAAAACATTTTAATTGTGATAATTTGAACAACAATTTTGGAGTTTAATCTGCCATTAATGACGATTGTTTAAAGAAAATACTTAAAATTGTCTGTTGTCTGCCTCTAATGGAAATGTTTCATAGTCAGATCTGGATAAATGTTTATTGCTTCATATCTCATCTTAGTTCTTGGATAAAGAAGATATATATATAAAATGAATGCATGCATACAAGTAAGGATGTACCCAAGAGCTGTTGGATGGGGGCTCTCCTGTATGTTACAGCATGCATGAATTTTTGGAAATAATAGCCTTTTCTAGGAGGTGTATATTAATAGTTATTAACTTATTACATAACTGGTTTTGGAGGTAAATTGATTTTATACCTACTTTAAACAGATAATCTGGATTATTTCTGCAATCTGCCCCTATTTGGGCATATCACCCAACGGGGTAAAGATAACAGAATCAGGCTGAATTCTAGTCAGGTTTTTTTTTTTCTTTTCCCTTTTTTTCCATTTCTTCCTGTAGCCTAGAGCTTTGGCAACTTCCAGTGTATTCAAAAGCAAAGCAAAGCTCTCTTTTTATAGTAAACATAACTCCTGATCTGGTGAAAAGTCACCAGCAGTGGGGGTTATTTTAATGGACATGCTGTATTACTTTAATCTAAGCCTTTCACCATCTGTTCTGCCTATAATAGTGAATGCAAAAAGAACATATTTTACATTTCAGAATTACATTAGTAAAAAGTAAGATAAAAGTGATTTAAAAGCATGCATATGTTCTTAGTACAATGCAGCCAGCATCTGTGATGTTTTTTCCCATGGTTAAGACACAAATCAAGAGGAAAGCTGCTAATGCTGATGTAGTGAAAGTTTTTCATAGAAAAGAGGACTCTGAGAGGGTTTCACTATATATTTAGTGTTTATAATGATAAAAACCTGAGTAGGTTGCCAGAAAATTAGATAGTAGAACATCTATTGTTTGAACATCTGGCGTGGTGTGTGGAGCAGGCTGATGTTGCTGTGTATGACAGGGTGAGTGCTCAGGCCAGTGAGACACCTGTACAAATGGTCTGGAAAAAAGAAAATAACCCAAGAAATATTATAATTGTTGGCTGGCCTAATGCACTTTCATGCACTTTCATGAAACAAGATTTTATTAGATGTGGAATTGATGTTTTCCTATTCTTTGCCCCTTCAGCCTTCTGAAGTTTTTCTCAGAGTGAAAAGAGCATCAGTGATGTCCAATAGCCCCTTTCTGTGCCAGTGTTAATGCCACCGTTGTGTCTTCACTACGGTGGTACACTGGATTAACACTCTGGAAGACATTTCTAGTATCTGGAGGTGGCAATTTAGTTTCCAGAATTTCTGCTTGTTTTTCAGTTTCTGTTGGTTGAACTTTGTCAAAAACTGAAGAATAATAAATTCTGCCTGATAACGGAGGGCAAAAATTAGCAGAAAGGAAAACATTTCTGGTGAGACAGGACTGGGATTGAAAAAAAAATTCACTAATTTTAATTGCCCATAATTTTCATTAAATCTGATCTCGTTTTCTATGGTTTTTCATCACTTGACATATGGGAGCCTAAATCTGACTTGAGAGATAGTGTTTCCACTCCTGTTTCAGTAAAGCAGTATCTTTGATCATCCTTTCATTTCACCCCCTGTCAACATGTCACACATGCCTGTATTTGGAGTCTCCACCTGTCAACATCAGATTCCCAGAAGAGGCAGCAGTAGGACTGGAGTGGTAGAGGCCAAATAGAGATGTGATTAGCTTTAAAGGGAATGAAACATATTTTTGGCCTATGTTTGCTTATGTTGTACCTTAAGAACAAGCAGTCTTATCACCCTTGGTAGACAATGTGGGCCACAAGCAATTCACCGTGTTAATTTAATTCTGTCCATAGCCTAGCAGCTGCTATGGGTCAGATCTCAAATAATCATCATTTACATCAAGTATAAAGAATATGCATTAAGTATTGTTGTTCTTGACTACGTGGTTGTATGGCATTCTGATATACTGAACAGGTACCCTTTGAAATGGTTTCCTTTTCTTTAAGAAAAGTGCATGAAGGCCTGTGCCATTTCATCTTTTGTGGTTAGGTTCAAGATAAATAAAAGAGCAAGTTTTCAGTTAAATGGAGAAATTCCTTTCAAGTGAAGCTATGTTGAACCCTGAGGTGTCCTTAGAAACAGAGAACTAATAGAAAAATATCTATTAGAGCAAAATGAAATTAAGAATTTTCAGTTTGAAAGAATCTCTGGCATTTATTATCATAAATGGTTCAAAAATTAAATGTCCTTATATTATTAGAAATTAATTTTAATTTTTCTCCTCATGAAAGAAATACATACTATGAGCTTTATTTTTAATAAGAAAATAAATGAACTTTAAACTTTTTTATACTTATATTTATGCTTATATTACCTTATGTTTCAGGTTAACTTTTAAATTTCAAAAATCTAGTTTATAAAAGTGAAATCCAAAAACAGTGCTAAAAATAATTCTGAAGTTAAGAACAGGCACAAAAGTAGTTTTCCTTTTGTTCATTTCCATTTTAACTAATTGTTAATAATTTCTAATTTTTTTCATTGTAAACTTAATCTATATATTTTTGTCATAAAGTCTACCCTAATTCAGTTGGTATTTCTGAAGATATCATTGTGACTAAGCAGTTTGAAGACATTAGATCTGAAAGGATAATAGAAGAGTTAGAAGTTCCAGTTGGTCACATAACACTGTGGTGGCTGAATAAAGTTCTTAGTTAACGTATGCCAAGTTACTGGCATTTTAAAGAACTCTTTTATGGTTCTGTAACTATCTCACTTCCATGCAAAATCATATTTATCCTTTCACCTCTAAAACCTTGGGATGAATATGGTGGTACTAATTTGCTGACCTCCTCCATATTTAGGCTCTTGGCCTACGGGTATTCTTCTGACATCTAATAACAAAACCTAATCAAGCTCCTCAAAGCCATGACCCTTTCTTTCTTTCCTTTAAACAGCCTATCATGTTAACAAACAGTATTCACAAATATAAACTGGAATACTGAAGAAATACCCAATTAAATGCCAAAACTGAAGTAGTTCCACTACCGATGTTGCACAGATGGTTTAAGTTTCTGTAAGTCAAACATCTGGTCAGTACTTTCGATTGGTAAGTGCATAAAACCTTGATCCTGGCTGATAATGAGGAGTTTCATAGCAACTCAATCTAATGAAAAGGAAGGCAAGCTTATGTTTTCAGGAGAGAGGCCTAAAGCCTATTAAAAGAAAAGGCAGAGTGGGCATCTGGAAGGTGAGTGATGGAATGGGAGAATTCCAAGGTTTCATGTTGTAATACATTGATTTGTGACATGAGTGTGCAGTACTGAAGAGGCAAGCATGTACAGCTTTGGTCTCATCCCAATCCATAATCACGGGTGAAATTGATTTAAAGATGTTCCATGAAGTTTGACAGTTCCAATAAATAAGAAGATTTAAAAATGAGATAGATAAATCCTAGGAGATTTAATAAGCATTCTTTTTTTTTTTTTTCTTTTCCCAAAAAATATCTAAAAGTTTGAAACATTCATTATGAATATCTAGAAATCTGTGACATTTAACTTAACCCTTACTTCTCTCTAAACAAATGCCCATGCTCCTATTCTGTCTGCTTTTGCAGCCGTCTGTTAGCTGCTGCTTCTGGGTTGGGGGGCCCTGCTTAGCCTGCTTTGGGGTGCCAAATGCGCACTCTGCCTGCTTTGGGTAGCAGTTGCCTTTTCTGGCAAATAGTTTCTGGATTTGCCTTGTTCTCACATTTCAACAGAGCTGTGATTTTTAGCTTCTTATTGACCTGCCATTACTCTGGAGCTCTGTTCTGTAGTTGGTAGTCCCAGGATCTACAGGAGGCTTTATTTTCTCTAATAATAGGAGGAGAGAAGTTCTAAGATACCACTCCAGGTAAGAAAAAAAAAATCCATCAGCAAACAAAACGTGAAGAAAAGAGAGGGAACCCTTAGAAAAAGAACTTGAAATACATTCTGTTTTAATTCAATGTGTGAGAATGCTCCAGGAGCAGTTGAAAAAGTTTTGCCCAGGAGTGTTGGAGCACCATTCCTGAGCATAAGCACCAGCTTTCAAAGCAATAAGAAAAACCTGGACGTATTAAAAAAATATTGAATTGCAATGTTGATGTTGCTGGGCCTAATATTGCACATCATAAAGGATATGGCTATTAAGGGTCAACATGGGATGTTTTAGAGTTTCATGAGGCCTGTCCTGTCATCTGTGAGCTCATTACAGAGTGTTGTACAGGAAAGGACTAGAAGTCCAACCAGAAGGTGCAGACGTGTGGGCACGCTCACAAAAAAACACCCTCTCACATGCATATTCTGTCTTTTCAGCGCAGTTACTTGCAGATTTCACCCAGGCGTAGTAACTTCCCCGCTGCTTCTCCTGTTTTGCAGTATTCTGGATTTCACACTGAGAGATCCGAGTCTGACCATGAGAGCCAGTGGGGCGGGAGCCCCTTGACCGATACGGCTTCTCCTCAGCTGCTGGAGCCCGCGGACAGACCGAGCTCCCAGCACCACGATGTCTCCTGTGCCTACAGACAGTACTCAGACCGCAGTGCTCTCTGCTACGGTTTTACACTCGACCACTCCAGGCTGACTGATGACAGACATTTCCACACCCAGGCCTGTGAAGGAGGCAGATGTGAAGCTGGCCGGTATTTCCTTGGCACGCCGCAGCCGGGAAGGGAGAGCTGGTGGGGTTCTCGTTCAGCGTTGCCCCTGGCTAAGTCATCCCCCGAGAGCAGAGAAGCATATGAAAACAGTATGCCCCACATAACTTCTGTACACAGGATTCATGGTAAGAGACAAGAAGGATTTGCAGAAGTGGCACCATCTCAGATCAAGCAACATGACATAAGCATGCAGCTGTTTATGTGAGAAACAGAAAACGAGAGACACTCTTGGTGTATGTCCTGATCTCAGAGATGACATCTACGGAGATGAGGAATACTTACAGTTCATTTTGAGTTTAACAGTCTGGCTTATATTCAGAAAAATATAATTTGGTGTGTATTTTTAAGTCTGTGAAATTGAGGTGGGAATATCTGACTGGTGAGGTCTTAAGGACAAGACAGTCTTAAAAATATGAACAAATTTATACACTTGATAGAAATCTGTTATTTATTTGACTTAATATCAAACTACTTCAGACGGAATATATTTAGCACAAAATTAGTTAGAACTAAACCCAAGCTAGATATTAAAAAACCTTTAAAGTCTTTGGAGAAATCATTCTCCAAATGACCTATTTTATCTGCACTGGTTATTACTAGATTTTGTAAGGTTTGCTGTTTACTTTTATTTAAAATTGTCAGTTCAAATTAACATTTGCTTTTGGTTTCAGATATTTATCTCCAGCTATAATTTTTAGTCAATTTGAGTCTCTCCATCCTTTCAGCACCAAGCCTGAAGCCTTACTTGGTGTCTGGCAGGCTGCAACCTCAGTGCATTAACACATCTTCAGAGGCTGAAGCTGATAGAAAATTCACAGTGAAAAGATGATCTTGGGTTTGGCAAAATCCAAAGGACCTTGAGTTTAAAGGGTGGACTGAGAGTTGAAAGACCGCAACTGATCCAAAAATCAGAGTTTAATGTTGTAAGATGCAGCATGAAAAAATGCTTTTCTACTGAAATGATCTGTCAAGACATAGGTTGTATCTGAAGAGCTCATAAAAGCTAATTACATTGGTACAATTCCTTTGACTTGCAGAATGAGGCTTTGGAAAAAAAAAAACCCCTGTACTATTTTACCCCAATCTGAGGAAAATTATTTTGAGTTTAGAAAAATTATTAAATATCAAGTTCTAGGAAACACAGTCAGAGGAAAATGAGGCAAGAAAGGGACGCCAAAATTTTGCTGATAAATACTGCTCTCCACTTTCCCTGTGAGAATGCACCTCCTTCCTTGTGTTTGTCCTGTACTTCTGTCATACTTGTGTTTCTCTAGCTTTTTCTTCTCCAAAAAACCAGAATTGAGCAGAATATGATAATTTTTCTGCCAAGTTTTATGCATGATAATTCTTACTGAGAATAGAGAGATAGTGATGTTGAAATACAGAGGTATAAATGCAAAACTGTTAAATATTTATTCCGTACTTTTATCAAAGATAATGGAAATGGATAATATAATTTGATTTTAGTTTGCTCCTTGGTTTTGCTGTAATTCCAGATGCTGTGGTTACTTTCTTTATTGTATCAAGTCCTACATGTTTCAGTGGGCCTTCAGTCTGCATGTAGCTTTGGGGGTAAAACCTCACATGCTGGTCTCAGTTGAGCAGAGGAACATCTCCTGTGCCATTTTCACTTAGATTTAGGCAGTTTTAAACCTTGGCCTTTCACAACTGAAACTCTTTTTGACAGTGCTATGTGAACATTGCTGTCAGAGCATTTTCTTTGGGCAGAAACATTTTCTTCCTTTTCTGTTCTTTTAATGCATCTTCTGGTAGTTCTGGCTCAGGGTCACCTTACAATAACTACATTTAGCTGACCAATATGACAGGTCCTGGATATTGCATATGAGCCCATGAGTTTCTGGTCACCCTCAGGAAGTCTGGAGTACTGTAGGTACGGTCTGGGCAGTGAGTCAAACCGAGCACGTGGTTTAGAGCTGTGGCTGGCCAGCTCCCCAGTGTGTCGTGGTCTGCCTGACGTACTGCATGCTCTGGTGGCTGGAGCTCCCTTCTACCTCTAGGCCATAGCATTTTGGGCCCAGACCTTAAGAGTATGTGAAGGATAAAATTATGCTCATGAGATACCCTGCGGTGCAGTACTTCCACCTACAAAGGGCAGGATATGTTTAATACAAAAGCCCGTCAATGATTTTGTCATGAACTCTGCAATACAGTGGTAGTCATCTGCCTTGCAGATAGATCTGTACACGTTGACCTGACACAAAGCAGGGGGAACTACTTATGCTAGTTTGAAAATGGGTTTCTTCCAAGGAGTACTGTCAATCAACCCAATGGGCCTCATCACCAGAGAAGACTGTATGTGCAGAGGCAAAGGCATCATTAAGTAATTTGTGCAAGTCCAACACATGCCCTCTTGCAGGCACATATCTTGGCCAATCCTTTATCAAGCCCTTTATTATAGTAGGGCCTTAGTTGGCTGTTCGGGTTTGGGGTCACTCACTTTCTTCCTAGTGAGGATTGACAGGTCTGATTCTGTGCCTTCAGCTACATGCAAGCTGAGCACCTTCTCTGGTATGTCTATGGGCCTTATTTTTTAAAGAGAGGTAAGAATAGTTACTTTTTCCTGTTCTGAAAGTTTTATACAGCAAATATTTGTGTGTTGGGATATGGTATCCTGTTTTCCCAGTAACCCTGTCTAACAGCTATGGGTTCTTATGCTTCTGAAGAATAATGGCTTCATTACTTCTGTTTATTTATTGCTGTGTGACCTGCATGAAGTCACCACGGGGTCACAAACTATTCCACAGTGCTTTCTTTCTCTATGTTTTAGCTCCCAGAAAGGGCTAAAAGACACACTGGAGTAATGTGCACCTGTAATTTCCTGAGATTTTTGTTTTTACCACAGTTCTGATTCACTCAGACTTTGTTGATGCAAAGAGGTAGTGAGGGGTCAGGGCCTGCACATCAGTGTCAAGGGCAGTTTGACGTGTCCTAGGGTACCCTGCCTGGCCTCCAGATGCTCCAGAAGACACAGAGTTCCTGAGAGTTTGTGCCATATCTGCTGGGCCTATGCAGATGCCTGGTTACCCTAGGGTGCCTCAGATGGCACTGGATGGCTGTATTGAGGTGCTTAGATCTCTTTGTATATTTTAATCTGTGTTGCTTGTAGCTTGTTCCAATGTGCAGACACTGGAAACTAGAAGTTGTCACTGAAAAGCAAATGGTCTACCATGGTCATTTTTTGGTGACTTTTGTTGTGAGTCACTTGCCTCTGTCTTAGTTTTCTGTAAAATAAGGTTCAGAGTATGTGTTCTTCAAGCTTGCTTGCCTCTATCAACCTCAATACTTGTCCCCTTTCTCTCTTTCCTAGGGAGAGGACACTGGGATGAAGATAGTGTTGTTAGCTCCCCCGATCCTGGCTCTGCCAGTGAGTCAGGGGAACGATACCGTCCTGAGCAATATCAGAGCAGTCCGCACGAGCCCAGCAAAATTGAAACTCTAATAAGAGCCACGCAGCAAATGATTAAAGAAGAAGAAAACAGACTACAGCTGCGGAAAACAACCCCTGATCCACTGGTCTCTATTAATGGTACAGGGAAGAAGCATGGTATCTGTTTTGCAAACTATCCCCAGCAGCAGTTGGCAGGAGATGTCTGCCGCGTTCCGACGGTTGCCAACACTCCTCCCTGTGAACACATCCAGCAACGAGATGGAAAGATTATGAGCCCACATGAAAATGACTATGACAACAGCCCCACGACACTGTCTAGGATAAGCAGCCCCAGTTCTGACCGAATATCAAAATCTAGCTTGGTACTAGCTAAAGACTACCTGCATTCAGACATGTCCCCTCATCAAACCCCAGGGGACCACCCAGCAGTCTCTCCAAATTATTACAGCTCCCACAGGCAGTACTTTGATAAGCATGCATACACATTAACTGGATACGCCCTGGAGCATTTATATGACACTGAAACCATTAGAAACTATTCACTAGGCTGTAATGGATCACACTTTGATGTGACTTCTCACTTAAGGATGCAGCAAGATCCAGCACAAGGACACAAGGGGACATCTGTTATAATAACCAATGGAAGCTGACCCCTTTTTTTCTAAAAACTTTTGTGCTTTAAAAAATAACCTTTGAGATCTAATTGGAAGATATTATCTGTTTTCATGCCCTTGTCGTTACCAGCATTTGATATACCACAGTGCACTAGAAAGAATAACCTAAGGTTTTGGGGGATAAGTTAGTTAACACACATTACTTTTAAAAAATAAAAATGCACTGGCATGCAGGGTTAGAGTGAATGGAGCTAAACTTAAAGCTGGTGCCATGCAAGGTGAGAAGGATGGAAAAGGCCCAGACAGGGAGTGCTTGGGGCAGGCTAGCAGAGCAATTTATGCAGTGTGTAAGAGGCGGTTGTTCGGAAATGCTGCCAAGGGCAAACCTTCTGAACTGTATGTGCCCTACAGGTCCCAGCCAACAAAACTGTTATGCACTCTTTATGCAGAAAGTTGGAATGTGTTCCTTTGAAATACACATCAAAATGTGTGCTTCTGGTGATCTGTTTATTTCCTAACAGCCAAATGTGTTATGCTGCTCCATGGTATACATCATCCATGGCTAACAAATGCAAAATCAAAAAGGGGAGAAAGAAGAGAGAACTCCTGGAATTGTTATTTCCTTGTGTACTCACATGCATAGCTATTTACATATGCTTGATTTGAAAGGAGTCAAATGAGCAGTATCCTTATGATTACTACAATCAAATATTTACTTCAACCGCATTCAAAAGAAAGAAGACCTTTCTCAGTGTAGTTTTGAGAAATACGTAGGGCTTGTCTGTCTTGATGTAGAGATGGGAGATTGTCATCATATTTTTGCAAGATTGCACAAGGTGGGAAGTGGAGTTCAAGGGAAAAAAATTGTCAGGAGAAACAGGGAAAATAGCCCGGAATTAGGAGTGGTCCAGATAAACACGTTTAAACCTGTGGCTATGTATGCCATTTAGTAATAACTATAAAATGAGGAGAAATTATTCTAAGTGGCTAAATAATTAAGAATTAATTTGAAACACATAAGGAACTCAATAGAATAATAGAAATTTTGACATAAATTACAAAGGCAATTTCACAAGTGTGAAAATATAAGAGGTGAGAACAGACAAAAACTGTGTGGTCCACTTCTGATAAAGTTTGAAGTAAGTTATGAAAGTATAGAAAATTATAAGTACTCTGTCTGACATACAGTAAAGTAATAGGTATTTTCTTGCTTGCAGCAGAAAATTTAATGACTATCAGAACATCCTAGACATATAAAAATCAGCTATATGTACATAAAAAAATACTGAGGGAAATCAGGGTTCAAAGAAATTCAATTGTATTAAGAATGCTGATATTATTAGGGCCTGTCCTAGAGTTACAGAAGACATCAAAAGAAGCAGAGAAACATTTTGCAATTTTTGATAATCTCATGAACAAAGAGACACTAATTGATAGGAAAAGAGTAAATAAAAACATATGCTAAAAAAAGTAAAATAGGGCATTTGTAGGCAAAATTGCTAGACCTGTCCTTCTTTGTATGGCACTTACATGGAGTCTCGACGTTGACTACAATGGGATCAGGACCACCGCTCTGTATTATACCAATATGGAGGCAAGGGGACTTGAAGTGGTTGCTAGAATGAGATTAGCACTAAGTCTTGATTCATTTGTAACATTAAGAAGCTCAACATATGGGACTGAGTCATCAGTGGGTCTAAATATAAACCAACATGCTACGGGTGGGTTAAAAATATCTATTTTCAAATAAAACTAATCAGAAGCAAAAGCTAAATAATAACATCATAAGCCACGTAAGTAGAGATGTACTTGAAAGCAGAGGAAATTACCTCTCTGAACTTGGAATATTGTGCATAGTCCTGATCACTCCAAGGCAGATTGTGAATCTTGAATTGAGTAGTACCTTACTCCATAAGCAATCTTTGTTGACTGCAGTGGGATCACTCCTGGTGAAATGTACATTGAACACAAGGAAGAGCAACACAATCTGGTCTTTATTATCTAAAGCTCATAATAGAAAAAGGTGGAGCAGAGCTCAGCAAAAGATAAAGAGACTGAAAGATCTAATAAAAACTTTAAATAAACTGGGTCTGTCATGTTTGTAAGGGAAAAGAGTAAGGGGGAATGTCACTGGTGTGCAGCAAGCTCTACAGATAGGAGAGATAAATAATGGTCTAAAACTATTTGAACTAGCGGCAGAAATGAGAGGCAGGGCATTGAATGTTAGCCAAGGCAAAATGAGAACAAAATGATTTGGCAAGAAGTTTATTTGACTAACTGCCAAATGAATAACAAAGGTCATAAAGAGAAGCAGCTAGAGATTTTTGTTTGTTTGTTTGTTTTAGCATAAAAGCAAGGCAAATAACTGAGGGACAAAAAAAATATTGACAACCGTTAACTCAGAGGAAGGAATGGACCAAAATGGACTTCTTTCAGCCCAACAATTGTATATGTTCCTAAAGCATAGGAATGAGAAAGTATTTTTGATAAATCTAGTTCTGGATACACATTTATTTCACTTGTTCCTATGAATATACTTGCATTTGGAGTCTCATTGTACAGTATTAAAATACAATTTGCAAAGCAAAATAGAGTAGAGGTACATGGTATCATATTATCCCTACTAGTACATATAAAAAATAAGTCTAAGTGTCCATATTATTCTGTATTACAGAAGAGTTTCCTGAACTGTTTGGGTGAATGGGATTTTGTCAGCACCCAGGTTTCTTGGGGTCACCAAGCACTCTTGTTATCAAGCTTTTAATTAGAAGGCAATAGAGTTCTGCAGACCTGCTGCAGTTCCCTGGCTATGGTCTAACAGCCACAAGTAGTCAGGAAACCACAGTTTGGGCACTGTTGTATTTGCATTCTGACAGGCACTTTTGAAAAATAGAAGACTTATAAAACAAACAGGCACAATATAAGATGCTTGTATTATTTCACCTAGGAAAGAAGCCAGTGTGCTATGCAATAAAAATTCCCCATTCTCATTTACTGTGATCCCCAAATAAAACTTCCCAAACTGTAGTTATTTATCCTGTTTTCAATAGTTCCAGTCCACTACAATGACAAATGCAGCGAAATGCAGTGTAACGAATGGAAGACCTAGTATCTCAGTAGAGAGGTCTGCACTTGCAGCCATGCTGTGCCGCAAACAAAGGCTGATGCTCCCTCCACTCATGGGATTCCAGCAACTGGCACTCCTTAGCACTTCAGTACAGTCTGCTGGAGATAAATGCTTTTTGTCAGCTAATATGCCATCCTGCTTCTTTAGATAGCTAGGAATCTCTTCTTAATTGACAGAAAGCATTGAATGTTGTAAACATAGACTCTGCATGCTACATGTTACATGAAAGCAAGTTTGCTATCTTAATTATAGCATATAATATCACTGCAGCTCATATAATGTGTACTTTTCAATATGGTATAAAACTTATATTTTTTCAATTACATATTTATTTAATTCAAATTTTCATTTAGTATCCTTCAAGGATATCTTCTTTTTTTGTTTGTTTCTCCCTTTTCTAAATCAGATAAGATGAGATATTTTGCAAAATTGGAAAATGCAAGGCGTTTGTACCAAATACATTTTAAATGTATCACATTAGCTAAAGGCTGTCACTTTAAAGAAGGTATGTAGGTTCTGTTTTGGAACAGAAACAATATAAATTGATGTGTTGCATCATTTCTCTAACAGAATAAGGTTTTGCTATTAAATTAATATTTTAATATTTTGTAACTACATGCGGAATGACACAGCTCTGTCAAAACATTTCTTACTGGTATCAGCGGATGGTGCATAATGATTTTGGTGCATTATGATTTTGGTATGTCTCTTTTGTTTAAAGAAGCAAAAAAGATCCGTCTTTATGCCAAATTGCACCCCAAGGGCATGGATTTTGTAATTATGGACAAATTTGCAAAGCAATTCTTAAACTGGAAGAAGAACCTTACTCAGCAATTTGTCCCATTGATTCAAATGGGAATCTTTGTGGAGTAAGGTACTACTTAATATGTGTAAGGGTGAAAAAAAGCTGACTTGTTGTGAACTGGCAATAAGTTTGGGGTTTGTTTGTAATTTTTTTTTTTAAATCTCAGGGTATGAGTATGGAAACTACAGAAGGTAATAGCTGTAATTGCTGTGTTTCTATAACAGAAATTATTTATACATGCTTTGAAAAAATGAGTGCATCTCTCTGCACTGAAGAGCCCCGAAGTATTTTTTAAGCTTTAAATGGCTTTTGTTGATGTGTCTGCAGTACTGCCACAGGTTATACAGTGAAATTCTGCTCTTTTTAACTGTTTTAATCACTGTTATCTGAATCTCGTTTTTATCTCTGGATGTGGAGCATTTATTCATTAATGTCCCTAAGTATGTTAACCACCATATGTTCATTTATGTGAACATCCTGAGTGAGTTGGAAAAAAATAAAAGGTTGCATAATGTTTCTGGAAAAGGCACGGCAATCCCTGAAAAACAGGCTGGCTGTTGCAACGGTTAGTTAACCTCTCAGTCAAGGAACAAAGCTGTGGCATACGCGTTGGTTTCAGACCTTCTGCATACATCCTTGTATATAATGGGGATTATAGCACACAGTTCCAGGATTAGACCTAGCTATGTCTATTTTAAGGTGGCTAGAGTTAATGTCTGGCAGCCAGTGGATTCAGGCTCTGGTCTTTCCATGAGTTGTAAGTTTACTTAAAACACCTAAGGGTCTAAAGGCAATACAGTCTTTGTTATTAGGAACAATGGTGGATGAACATGCTTTCCTGTAGGTATACTGGATTAGCTCCAGACACCTCCACAGTGTGGAAGAAATCTATTTTATTTTATTTGCAGTTAGTATTGACAGTTAAATATTTCGTCTGTATGCACTGAGGAGCAAAAAAAAAAAAAAAAAAAAAAAAATCCCTCAAAAACCAACAATAGAAAAAAAAAACCAAAACAAACCCCACAGTTTTTTTCTGTAACCCTTCAGTTTGGTGTTAGTGAAGCCTGCTAGAGGTGTAGCTGAGGGCTTAGCTGTTGTTCTGAA